GTGAAGAACCGTCGTCTTCTTTCCCCGACGTACTTCTTCTTCTCTGTGAAAGTAATGAACCGTCGTTAAATTTCTTTCTGTANGTGAAGTGTGTACTTCAAAACTGTGATTTCGATCTGTTCTGATGTCGTGCCTATACAAAGATCGAAGGTGAAAATGTAGCTGGGAATTCTACCTTTTTCTTCATCATTGAACGCTAGAGAGCAGGTAAGGAGCTTAGCTCATAATCATGCTCAGAAAGGATCTGATAGCGTCACTCATGAAGCCTCGCTGTTGTCCACGAGACTACGCTGCAGCTCCTTTTTCGGATGAATTCAAGTGGTAATAGTGATCTTTCATAAGAAGGCTTTCCAAAAGTGGGTGCTTCAGATTATGGCACACATCTGACGATTGGAGGTCGAAAGACAGAACTGCGAGATAAGTGCGAACTCCTTTTCTTTTCCACCACTCCCCTACTAAACTACGTCCTTGGTCGGCTTTACACACCCCTTTCCTGTTATTGTGAATTCCAATAAAACCTACATTTACGGTAAATACCTTCCGTAGAAACCCAGTGAAAAGAGCTTGCGTTGAATTCGGAGAATTGAAAGACATAGTTAAGCTCGAAAATGTCAGCAACGTAAACAGCAATAGCGCTACTTTGGACTGGATATATCACTCTGACCATTATGACTTGCGAACAAGCGCGATATTATCAAGACCGATGCGTTGAGGACAGTGGGAAGGGTGATATCCTCGGATATCAGCGACCGAGCTTTCATCCTACACTTCTTTGCATTCTTCTCGCATCCCACATGAGAATATTTACACAGAATGGGGATCACGGGCTCTTGTCTTTTCATTTTTTTCTCAGGGATGGATTTCTTACCGCCTACACCCCTTGATATCCAAGCTGCATACACACACAATCTCCCGCTTTACATTCTGCGATCACTGTAGGTTCTTCCCTCTGGAAACTCATCGATATTGAGCGTTTTCTTAACTCTTTTCACGAGGGCTGATCACTATGACTTATAGTACCTGTTATCTCCTAGGTGAAATATCTTATTACAAAAATATGCTTCAAGTCTAACGATTTTACGAAGATTGGGGGCTTATTCATACCTGATTCTACGCAATTTCCACGTGGTTTCCTCTCCCATCAACTGGACCACACCAATAGCCAAATGATCTGATATCAAGCTGTGCTTTACCTACTCAGCAGCCCTATTCGCATCGTATTCATATCGGTAAGAAAAAAGCACTCGTCTGGTTTTTTGTAGCAATTTTACTTGAGGATGGGCCGATGTTAAGCTTACATTTGGATGTATAATCATATGTACTGAATGATTTGGGTGTATATTTGATGGTGCTACAAACAAAACTGGTCATTGCCCACGTTACTATACTTGTTCTCATGGTTTATATAATACAAACGAGGTCGAGCTTCCTCAGGTAGAAATGTGTAATTTATAGCCTTGTGTAGTGTTTCCATCGAATACCGGGAAGTCGTAATGTGTAAATCCTTTTACAGCGTTGCATTCTCCCTCTTGACCGACTCCTAGTTCAGCCAAGTTTGTGGCTTCTGCGTATGTCTGTGTAGGCGTTTATTATGTGTGTGTAGTTGTGTACACGCTTCATCTAACTCCCGTGATCTCAATGGGCTGCATTCAAGAAACCGGAAAGGGCCTGAAAAGCATTCCATGATCACCTCTATAGGGTACGCTGAAAGAAAAAGGCACTCTACCCTGAAAAACACTTAGCCCCCAGACCAACCATCTCGGGGCAGTTGAGGAGTCATTTATGTTCCGAGGCCGACTCTACAACGACCCTTCAAATTGTTTCCATCCGATATGAGGAGGAAGCTTTGTCTTTTCTGAGGAATTATCTTATCATCAACCCCACCGTTATTTCGTTCTTCGTAGCTTTTCACAAGTTTTCATGAATAAAACCCTGTGAATATCAAGTTTCAACTGGGTTTTGTGAAAATAACAGTTATGAATAGAGGTGTAATGAGAAGTTTCGGTCGGATATGAGCAGAGGAAACGAATTCGCGAGAGGTGAAGAACCGTCGTCTTCTTTCCCCGACGTACTTCTTGTGAAAGTAATGAACCGTCGTTAAATTTCTTTCTGTAAGCCTCTGTTCCTTGTCTATTCCAACACCGAAACGTGTTGAATTCTTCCTTTTTCCATTGCTTCCAATTTCAGGAAATGCTCAACGTTGGGTTCCCGATTCATCTAGTCATGTTCGCATCGGTGATAGTCAGAGCCCACGGACGGGTAGCCTTCGATGATTGGCATTGTGGAAGCAGCGATTTCACACGTCAAATGTCTTTCGAAAGTATAACTGAGAAGTGCGAAAGCATCATGTGTCAGTTGAGTTCTCGTTTTTTTTTTTCAAAATTCTATTAATGCTTTTAAACGGGATTCTTGAGGGACTGTGCGCATTGGATTTGTCTGAGATTTAGTTTTCGTTCTCATTTGTTCGTGGTCGTTCAAATCAATCATTAAAATGAAGCTGCTGGTTAGTGCTTGAGTAAGTTGTGTAAATCGCTGATTAACTAAGCACCTACGCGACCTACGTTTTTTCTTTTCTTTTTGAGCTTCTGAAGGCTACGTTGTACTTTTCCTTATCGACACGGTTGATCGAGTTGATTCGCATTAGCACATCGCAATGATCTCACGTGAGCGTAAATTTCGAACGAAACGGCAAGGGACACTACGGATCGTTTCACATTAAAGAACCATCCCGTGACCGTTATTGTAGATTGTTGTTCGCTTCAATCCAATACAATTCTTTCTTCCTTGAAACAGAGCCTTGCAGAGAGAAAACCATTGGGAGATGCTAACGGGGGATAAACACGTGAGTACATATTGTTGAATTAGAGAGAGGGAGAGGGGGGGGGGGTCATGCTTGAACACGGTAACTCATAGACAGGAAAGACAATTGGCACATATGAACATATGAGCTCTAAGGGAGAGGGGACTTTGGCTATGGCTACTGTCGTCGTCTGAGGTTGTCTTGTACATAGTGACTGTGATCGCTCTCTCATGAAAGTTGGAAGCACGAATTCATACCGAGCTGTACTCTTGCAATAAACCTCAACCATATAGATTCTCGAACAAGCTTAAACGCACTTGTACAAACACCGGAGCGGTGAAAAACTGCTTTTTAGTTTTGTAAAGTAAATCAAGCTGCCCATTTTCGCAGCTGTTTCTGAAAAGTGACGCTTAGGGATCGTTGGAGGTTAAATAGTAAAGTTTCAATCGGATTGATAGTACCAACAATTCAACGCAACCTTTACACCTTCCTGATACTACGCTACAGAACCTCTAATTTTATGGAAGTGATGTATTATCCATGACTTCCATTGCTTAGCTGGAGAAGTTATTCCATCTGNGAGGTTAAATAGTAAAGTTTCAATCGGATTGATAGTACCAACAATTCAACGCAACCTTTACACCTTCCTGATACTACGCTACAGAACCTCTGGAAGTGATGTATTATCCGTGACTTCCATTGCTTAGCTGGAGAAGTTATTCCATCTGGCTTTCACGCCCCGTCCACCTTAAGTATGAGGCAGCCGAAGATATGATTAGTCAATAGGTATGATAGAAGAACACGCTTTCTTGAGTTCATAACGTGTTCTGTCTCAGAAAACTAAAAACAGAGAAGAACTCCACTGAAAAGTTCATGTTTTTTGTTTTTGGAGTGTTCTTAGCGTTCTACGTTTTATAGAGCTGTTTTTATAGTGACTGTGAACCACTGTTGCGTAGTGCATGATGTCTGCTATACACACCAACTCGGGCAGGAGCGATGTGATGAGCAGTTTTGCGAGTGCAATCGAGTGAGTTCCTTCTTGTTGTTCAGAGGCATCATATCCCGTTCCTCTGTTTTTATTATTTGTTTGTAAGGGTCAATGGACGTTCTTTGAAAGTGCAGCACAGTTTTCTGCAACACATAGATTCGGTTGTTTTGAATAATTGTCAAATATCTATAGAATATATTCGGGAACGGTGCTATGTCGACCAACTTACCATCTAGTAACCCTCAATAGAGTGATTAAGAGAGCTCGCCGGCGGCCTTCAGTCATTTTACGCCATTCAAAGATGGAGCTTAGGATAATTTTGGGATACCCCTCCTTAGTTAAAAAGCGGAAGTATAGGTTGGAACTATTTCATCGGTGGTGAAATGCAAGTAAATTCGCCGACTTTGAGAAAAATATGCCCATGACGGAAATAACGTGGAGGGGTTATTCGGACGAGAATTTAGTTGTTGCAATTGCGCAAAGAACCGACTAAATCAAGCTAAAACTGACAGAAGTGCCTTCCACTGTCGCTGTGGGTCATGACAAGTTGTTTGAACTGCCTACATGGGTTCCCTCGGGGTTGGTGCAGCCTTTACAGTGCTGGTGTCACTCGTCCGAGTATACTCACACTGCAATCTCTGAGCCTTCATAACCCCTTATCTAAGCCGTTTTCCGACATGACAGTGCCACATATGGTATTCGAGAAGGCCACAATTATCCTAGAGGGACGTCTCTTAAGCCATTCTTATCGCGAACTGTGCCTTCAACATTCCCAAGGAGCAGAAAGGGTGGAGTGGCAAGCGGCCCACTAATATGTGCACACACTTGATTACGGGTTCAAATCCCGAGCCCATATCCGCCTAGACCGATCCAGCCATATATTCTTCCTAGGTCGGCTAGTTGGCACCAGACTCATCTGGGAAGGAGAGTTTATCCTTTATCATTCAACTTTGCCTAGGTTATTTTTAAGCACTTCATATCAGGATCAACCAGAGAACGCCGAGCTTCACTTCCTTTTACGACAAATATGGATATTCAGGTGATCCGTCATTCCTTTTTTGGAACACAGGAGCTATCTCTTGTCCGGAAATTTGTGGAAGCTAATAGTAATTCCTCGGCCAGTACATCTTTGACGTAAGCCTCAAAGAGTGTAGCGCGGCAAAAGAAACTGCTATGAAGAATGTACCGGTGCTCACCCTCACTGTTAGAAGCCTCTATCTGCTGCTATTCATCTTACCATTAGCAATATTCACCCACTAAAGGCTCAATTATTAGTCGACCGTAGCTTCGAATGACACTTACTTATGTTGTGACAACAACACCGTCATCATTTATTGTTATCGATGACTCTTCATATTTTTATGTGCATCAATCACCAGCTGAATTCTCATATTATCGGCCGTCGGATAAGTTTTGTCGTAACTGATATGAAAACGTCACTGAAAGAGAAACCTTAGTCTATCACTGAGTTGAAAACCCCCATCCAAGCAAGGGAATGAACCAAGCTTCCATCTCACTGCATTGCACTCCCTTAGTCGGTCGCTACCGCTCGTATTGGTCCTCGTGCCCTTCCATTCAGTCCTATCGTGTGAATCATAGTAACGAGCCAAATTTAAATTGTGATACCAAAGTGGTTATGAGGAGGTGTATTCCCTCAGTCCTGAGGCGGAAACAGTTCAGGGCCTTCCATCCTTCTAGACGGAGCTCTGGCGATGGGGACAAAAAATGACGTGAATACTTGACGATGAGCAAGGTGACTGATATCCGGTGCTGGAGCTGAGACGGGTTTGAACGAGGATGACACACATGATGACATAAGACGATGAACGAGGTGGCTGAGTATGAGCGACGACTAACAAAACTACTAGGAACTAAACAAGCGCTGAAGGAGGTATTGCAATTTGGTCAAGCGAGATCAATGGCATATTATAGGTGAGAACACACTATACTACTCTAATGCGATTTCTCATAACTGAATTATAATGAGCAGAACCTGAGGAGTAGGTTTCTGGCGTGGTCAGTGAATATCATAATGTGGGACAAGCGATAGCCGGTGGTACTTCACGTGAAAGCGTACGTGTGGTTGTGCGACGGTAGTGNCATATTATAGGTGAGAGCACACTATACTACTCTAATGCAATTTCTCCTAACTGAATCATAATGAGGAGAACCTGAGGAGTAGGTTCTGGCGTGGTCAGTGAATATCATAATGTGGGACAAGCGATAGCCGGTGGTACTTCACGTGAAAGCGTACGTGTGGTTGTGCGACGGTAGTGCGACGGAAGAGGCAGGGGCCGATTGTCAGTGAGAACGTTCGATGACGGAAGAACAATTTCAACTTTTGTCTGAGAAGGCAGAGGGCACGATCCACATTCGGTAGTTCTGTTCTGTCAAAAACTGACTTCTAAGAGGGGCCGATATGTAGCGCTGTCAAGGAGGAAAAGAATTTGAACCACCTAATAGGTTTCAAAACGAGGATGTGTAACATGTTGCATTAGAGAGAAAATCTGCATCGCTCCGATGTCCATCTAATACCTATAGATTCACCCAATCACTGAGTTCCGAGGCATGCTCATGGATTTTATTTTATTTTAATGTAATTGACTTTTCCTTCTAGCCGGATGCTAGAGCGAGAGTTCCCATATAAAGCAGCCAACGTCCAAGAGACATCCTTTTCTACTATTTGTCTTTTCTTCTCATCGTTGTTCACAAATTCAGATATTTTTACTGCTCAGAAAGTAGTTCTAGAAAGCTGCCCTTGTGAGACATGACTGCTTGAATCTTTTGGAAGCCAGCTGCTCCTTGGTGCAGCTATTCGGATTCGGTGCCTACCATAACAGTGCCAACTACACAGGTACTTCTACATTCATCTCTTTGTCACTGTAATCCACTACTCTGGAAACATTCCTTTTTTGCTCTATAGAACCTGACGACCTTGTCAAGCACATGTTACGGAACGATTTATTGAAGTCTCATCTCACCGTTGTCTACCAGCGATGTCGGACGGTCAATGGTTCGTTTCTATCCTGCAAGAAATTTAATTGGTCTAGCAATCTACCTAAGGAAAAAAAAATGATTGAATTCCACGGCAATGGATCTAGAGATCGAGCAAGCGAATAGGCCGGAAAAAAAAGGTCGGATAGCGCTTTGTGAGGAGGTCAACATTTCTTGAACACCGACTGAATGTATTCACAAAGAGTATTGATGCGCCACGTTCTCCTATAATTCCACAGCAATGTATCCAAACGCTGAAACACAGTCGTCGTGCACGGTTAAGCAAATAAGTGCAATGTCATTACAATTGCATGCGAACTAGGGTCATCTTTTCGGACATGCAGACAACGTATGAAGGCTCTTCACGTTCTTCCCTCTTCTAAAGGTCAGGGGGAATAGTAGCGTGGTTGTTTGAATAGTTTCTGCTCGTCACGTATGACAAGACTAACTTGATACTTTCAGTAACTGAAGCCTCATATCTTGTCGCGCATCTCGCCCGTTAAGGCGCAGTTCAGGAGATTCAGATAGTGACGAAAAATGAAAGCGAGGTGGAGCATCGTGCAGTGGATGCGAAGAAGGCTCGCGAGTTGGTGTTTAGAAAATGAAAAAGGCTCCTGAAAAGTCGTTAAAAAAGGGACTGGACAAGAATGAGACCAGAAAAATTAGGTAGAGGGGGCATTTGGACGAGCTATGCAATGAGTGTCATTCAGTACATGTGGGTTCTGGTTCGAATACATAGCTGACCACACTGAGCAGATTCATTCACATATGAGCATAAATTAACAAAAACACTATCAACAGTAAAAAATACCCCATTTGTATTCACTTATTTATTTAGTGTGCGTCGACCGACGCGTTCCCATAAAACATCAGTTCTAGCCAGTGGTAAAATAGGGTCTAGTTGCATAGTAACAATAAACTTATGCAGATCAAATCTAGATCCAAACGAGCATAACGGCTTGTAACAAAAAATTCAAAGAAAAACTGATTCTCTGAAGCACTTGGTAGAATTGGAAAAATATAGAAAAAAGATGGGAAAAAGATTGAGCAATTTTTGGGCCCGACAGCGTCCTTTCTGTTACCCTTGGGGTCCTCTGCGTAATCCTAAGGGGAAATTCAAAAGACCATTCTTATCGTGAAGTGTGCATCTAAGATCTGCAGTTATCCAGCTGACAAATCAGTGAACTAAAATATATGTTTGTAGCGCAATGCATGGCTCAGTCTTCTATTCAGCGACAACGTCATCCTGTGCGCTTCAACACAACCTATGTGAAGATTCGCCAATTGAGTGTGCTGAGGCGCTGGCCGAGTGCCTACATGATGCGGCTTCAGTAGACGGAAGTGAGCCTTGTCGCGAGGCCGTGGAGCAGGTATGCAGTGCCGCACTGGATGGTAAGGAGCACCGGAGAAAAAATCCATTCAATTCAGTAGTCATCGTATTCTTCTTTTCAATCCACCAAAATAAGGAATAGGTTAGCAAATTTTTCAGAAGCTAACAAGTGGCACAACTTCTTCAGTAATGTTCGCTTCTTGAGCTCGAACATGCTGGTGAGTAACGAAATTGGTTCAAGTTTCATCATATGCTTTCGTTGATCATGTGCCAAGCAAGACCCAACGTAGATGAAGATCTTCATAGAAACCATACGCTCTTCTTAGGTTTTTTTCTAGTAGTAGTATACATATTTATATAACTTATCAGCACTTACACAGCACAATCCTACTGGCCAATATCAGTAGCTAGTGGGCAGTGCTGCCTTTTTCCTTGCTTGAATATACGAATTCTCTACTCTCAGAGGATTGTCCACCACCATCATCAGTTTAACGACTTAGAGAGTTTACGTATTCGATGCCATAGCTAAATCTTTAATTGACGATATGAGTGGTTACCAGGACTTGTAAAGGCTTTGTTGACCGTATAAATGGTCACCAGGATTTCTTTCCAAAGTTAATTTGCGACCTCTAAGGATAGCACGAGGGTCTCTCTTGGCCGAAACAAATAAGTTGTTCTGAATAGGACGTAACAAGGGCCCCAATCGGCCTAGCCTACGCACACACCCAAAAGCGTATGAGTTCTCACGGCGTTGTAGAAGCTAGAGAGGCATTCACATCTTACATGCAGGCGACTTATTGTACTCAGCTGTACGCAATGGCACTTACAAGTGGACAGCTTGACCAAATATCCCTTCGATGCAACTTGATCGTCACACTCTCATCCTGTACCTAATTTCACTACTTTTTGAAGCCTGGAATTTCGTTGATTACGCCAAATTTCGTGTTTTTCTCGCTCCGTTTACACTATTCTGGACTGTTACCTCAACAGAGCCGTGCATGGGAGATATGGCCCTCTCTCACTGGCATTCTCCTTTTTCAATGTTAACTTTTCCAGAAAGTGCTGATAGGAGTCTTTTTGGTGCTGTTGATCTGTTTCGTTGTGCGACAGCGTAATAGCATGAAGGTCGACAAGAAGCTCCTTGAATATTCGCCGGTCTGAATCTGCGCCACATTCGTCACTAAAGGTTCCCTTCCGTTATACGTTGACATCATTTCAGCGATATTGACTGATCTCTGACTTATGGGGCACTAAGGAAGAGAATAGAGTCTTATTATATTGTAATTATGCGTTCCCTTGAGACAGTCCGATGCAACAGTTCATTACGAGTCATTTCATTCCCATTTAATTTGTAAATCCTCTATGTTCTCTTGTCTGATAATTTGCCGTAGCAGAAAGGAATTATGTTGGAATATCAATAGAGATCGCATTATAATTAAGCAGTATATGGTGTTCTTAACTTGTTGTTGAATATTAGTACTAAATGTTGTTAGGATTAAAATAGAAAAATGATTACCAATGGTAATCTAAGATTGGCATGAAATGATCTGAGATTCCTGTCCTGACGATTGTTTGGTAAGGTAGATTTTGTTCTCTTCCAACCTCAGCGCTAAAGTGACTTGACTCTCACATTTCTATCATATGTGCATAAATGCATCAGAATGAGATTTCGACGTAAAACTATCGAGCGGCAGTATACACATCCGCTAGCTCACACCT